TATTAACGTCGGTTATACGGTTCCAGTGCGAGCACGTCGTAATGAATATTTACACGTGCAAGTACTCTCATTGGTAAGACACCAAAGTAGATAGGATGAAGGGAGGGGGATCGTATCAAGCCACCTTTTAGAGGGGGGAGGATCGTACGGACTCGATCAACATCTCCAACCAATATTGTGCCCTGTACTAATCTGCCGATGCTGGAGAAAAGAAGTTGCTTGGTTTGCGGAAGCCGAGCTGGGAGTTTCCTTCGGACCATATGCATGGTAAACACCGCAGCTTTCACCACATTGCCCCTGCCCTTTCGTTAGTGTATGGGTGCATATTTATGGGGAAGTCATGATAGGAAAGTTAAATCTTTAGTTTGTCTAGTTTACGGTCGATGCGCTGCCATTGTGTCGCTAGTGGCGCTGGTGTGGTTTTGCCACCCTCATAATTTGTATATTTTTAGCTCAGACCATTCCAGGTTGGTCAACGACAGCTGGTCTGTTTGGCTAGAGCGCTATTGCGTAATTCACGAATTCTTGTCATTGACGAAGCTACTGCGAACGTCGATCCACGGTGAGCTTGAATTTTGATTCGGACGGCGGTATTCACCTTTTTACAAAACGAAACAGTTTTTTTTCCAGTACTGATGCGCTCATTCAACGTACAATACGTGAAAGCTTTTCACATGCGACTGTGTTGACGATTGCACACCGTTTGAACACCATTATGGATTCTAGCCGAGTTCTTGTGAGTTTGATAATTTGAATGATTCGGATCGCTCGGGTTCTTCTATTTACCGTTTCTGGTTTTTTGAAAATCACCAGGCATTACCGTTTCACCCCTTCTACGCAGGGAAGGGGGGAGGGGGCAAAAAAGACACTTTTTCCTCAACTTTCAAAGCGAAATAGGTTACACTTCATTACCTTCTGATTGGACATTTCCACCATCATTCAACAACACATTGTACACGATCACGAAACTCCGCCACAGCCTTCTGGACGAACGCCATCGAGAGATTCTGCCACGATTCGGTGCCTGAGTTCAGCGAGGTCGTTGATTTCTCCGCCACTGTAGACCACCCTGTTGAGCTCCGCCCGAACCCGGTAATCGAGGGGGTTAGGTCAGGTGACACACTTAGATACTCCTTCTTTAGGTACTCAACGCCCTACTATTCCAAATTCGAGTTTTTCCAACCCTTCGATTCCATGTGCTGGCACCCAATCCTGTAGCAGTACGAAGTTTCCAAGATGGTACAGGCGACGACATGAAGGCAGGATATTCTCCTCAAGCTGTT